CACGATATTTATCGAGACAAAAGCCATAAACAAACACAATAAAATAAAATTGTCATTATCAATGACTGAGCTCTTCTTGGTGCACTTGAGTTGGAGGGTCGGGATTCAGTGTACTAGCCACTTTCAATCTCTATTTCTAGCTTCTGTGACCATAATACTCTCCAATGATGATGGTGTTGAGGACTGACATTGAGGTGCTGAAGGATGTCCCATCATCAAGAAGTCATAGGATGATATTCACTCTAAAGACTTTACCAAGGCAGGAAAGTGAGCTAAGACATTTTGGAAAGCAGTGTGGCTGGAGTCCCAACGCCAATACTGACTACCTGTGTGCGTGACTTTGGGAAACTCCTACAACCTCCTAACCTTCAGTTGCCTCATAGAAAATGGGAATTGTAATTCTTGTATGTTATCATATATATATATATATATATATATATATAATAACCATATATATTATATATAAATACGTAAAATAACTATAATTCCAGGATATTTATGAAAAGCCAATAAGATAATGAATGTGCAAGAATATCATGAAGGAATATTTTTAATTAATTAACTTATTTTTTGTTTTCAACAATCACTTCCACAAGTTTTTGAGTTTTAAATTTTCTCCCCCTCCCTCCCCATCTCCCTACCCAAGATGGCATGCAATCCAATATAGGCTATATGTATACATTCATATTAAACATGTATTCACATTAGTCATGTTGTAAAGAAAATTAGAACCAATAGGAGGAACCACTAGAAAGAAGAAACAAAACAAAACAGAAGAAAAAAAAGAGCAAATATTCAATCTGCATTCAAACTCCATAGTTCTTTCTCCGGATGTGGACAGCATTTTCCATCATGAGACTTTTGGAGATGTCTGAGATCCTTGCATTGCTGAGAAAAGCTGAGTCTATCAAAGTTAATCATCGCATAACATGGCTGTTACTGTGTATTTAAGGAATATTTTCAACCATGGCTGAAAATAAAAAAGATTAACCAGAATAACTCTAAGTTAATCTGGACTTTTTAAATTAATCAGGAAACTGTATTCTCCTAACATTCTGCTTAATTAAAGTCTTATGTGTAATCTTCATTTTTAAAGTGTCCTGTCTTCATAGGATTATAGGTTTAGAGCTAAAAGTTATCTTAAAAGAATGAATTATGAAAAAGGATCTACTCAATGCTTTGCTGTTGTTCAGTCATATCCAACTTTTCATGATTCCGTTTAGGGTTTTCTTGGCAAGGGTATTGGAGTATTTTACCATTTCTTTCTCTAGCTCATTTTACAGAAAGGGAACTGAGGCAGACAGGGTTAAGCTACTTGCCCAGGGTCACACAGTTAGTAAATGTCTTAGGCCAAATTTGAACTCAGGTCCTCCTGACACTAGCCCCGGCATTCCGTCCCATCCACTGCAATACCATGCTGCCTCATTAAATGCTTACTATGTGCTAAGCACTGACATTTCAAAAAAGCATTCAGCCCCTGTGCAAGATAGGGGCTGCCCTCAAGGTGTTTACATTTTAATAGAGATAATTTAATCCATTTCACTCATTTTAAATCAGGGAAATTGAGGCCTAGAGTGGTTAAACAACTTGCTTAAGATCAAATGTCCTAAGTGGCAGAACTGAGATGTGAACTTAGGTCTTCTGACTCCAAATACCCCACTCCTATTGTACCACATTTCCTTCCACTCTCAACACATATGATGGCTCCCAATATGGCCACTTTTCCTCTTAAAGATGTCTTCTTCTTTCTCCCGCAAGATTTCAGTACAGGAAGTGTATATGATATAATGCCATTACAGCTAATATACAGATAAACTCTAATGTTACGAATAGCTCAAAAACACATATTTCATTTCCATTTAAAGCTGGTTTATTTACAATCTTTTTCTCCATCTTTTTGTTTATTTCAACTGCCAAAAATTAAAAACAATCATGCTAATACATAAGTAATTCCACAAAAGGATAAAAAAAATCTCAATAATGTTTTCTTATAAATGAATGTGACAGTTACTTCTAGTTTCCTGCTGTTTCTATACTTTTTTATATAAAAGTATATCCAGTCTCCCTTTTACATTTGTACCCGTTTAAATAATTTTGCTCACAGATGAAGCTTTATAGTCCCCTGAATTTAACTACTAAAAAGTCTAGATTCATTTGAAATTAACATCAGGCTTCTATTAGACAACTGACCTCAAAAATCAATATAATAATTTTATTTATGCCAAGCATCAAAAAAATGCATATACTTTTTATAAAGGGCTAGAGTAATGAGGAGGGAAAAGAACCCCTACCTTGATTTTGTTTGTCCTTAGAATAATAAATAGCCCCCGAGAATAAAGCTGAATAAGTACATACCAAAAAAAATACCTTAAAACAAAAAGCTGACACATGAGGTTAATTTTTAAATGTCATTCAGAAAAGAAAAAATAAAAGAAGCAACACAGGACTGTGCAGAAAGTCTCACTTGAAAATAACCACAAAAAAAGAACTAAAAGTAAGTACACAAATCACCAAGAGAAGAAGGAGAAGTTAGATGCTGAGGGAGTCCCTGTGAAAAAAAAATGGACTTTCTAAATGGGTACAGGTACGGGAAGGGAGAAAACCTATATTGAAGGCACAACAGAGAAGGGCCAGCTGGGAAGTAAATGGCATCTGAAATTCAAACTGGCAGGTCAGGGTTCAACAGCTGCACTCTGTTCCTGGAGAAAACCCAGAGGAAATTTTTGAATTAGGTTTTTTAATGTATTGGAAACAAGTGAAGGTGATGGATGGGATCAATGTGGTTTCCTAAGGGGAGAAGGAGGGGAAATATTCAGACAATGTTTTGGCATTTCATTTCCCTGGGCTTTGGAACACTGGGAATTTGGGGTGTGGGGTGGAAATGCAGGCTAGGAAGTGATTAAGCCTTCATAAAAAGAATTCTGGTAAAGACAATTTCCTAAAGATAATGGTGGAATGACTTACATTCTTTCCTTCTAGGACAAAAGTTTAGGGGTGACAACCCACCGGGTTTAGTGCCTTGGGGAATTTTTTCTTCTTCTAACTAATGGAGAAAAGTAATGAAACCAATAGTGCAGAAGAAAGAGAGGAAGGGGGTTTTTTATAAAGGCAAAGCTGCAGTCTTAGTAAGACATTACTGTACGTCAAAAGGAAGCCAACCCAAAAAAACGTATTCTATAAAAATCAAAGCTTTAGACCATGCACTTTCAGGGTCTGGGTTTTCTGTTTTATTTTTTCTTCTACAGCTAAAACTACCTACTCTGTTTTCCTATATCACACTAAAATATGGGTAAGTCACGGATTTTTTTGAAGGGGGGTTGAACAATCATTTATTGCAAATTTAACAGGTAAGGTCAATTATAAATTCATAGATTTCAAGCTGGAAGGCACCTTTGAGGCTAACAAGTTCAATCCCTCCATTTTACAGAGAGGCAAACAAAAGCCCAGGGAGGTGAGGGACTCATTGCTCTTTCTACTGTATGATACCGACGACAAAGCAGGACCCTGCTCTCTCCAAACTCTCACTCACAGGCCTTGCCTCCACCGATGCTGGAAAGCTGATACTCGGCCCTTCCCACAACTGCCCCATAAGGAGCAGTGAAGCCACACCTGCCAGACTGACACAGGTGATCAGCATCATTCAGCTCCAGCTGGCCACAGCAGGCAGGTAGTGGTGCTCAATTTTTTTAGGTTTCTGAATGGAATTGTCTTCTAAAACTAACTCTTCCTTGACAATACGAGGACACAGAACCAACAGTCAACAGTCAGCAACATTTATTACGTAAGCGCTTACTACGTGCCAGGCACCAGGCTGAGCCCAGAGGAAATAAAGGAAAGCAAAAACACCAAGAGGAATTAACATAGCTAAAAAGAAAAAGTAACATCTATGTGTGCATAGACTTTGTTTGTCTGTCTGTCTCTATCTAACCTATCTCATCTATCCTATCTATCTGTCTGTCTATCTATCTATCCATCTGTCTAATCTGACTGTCTATTTCTCTCTCTAACTATTTGTCTATATATCAATCCATCCATCCATCTATCCTATTTCTCTTTCTCTCTCTCTCTCGACTATTTGTCTACATATCAATCCATCCATCCATCCATCTATCCATCTATCTATCCTGACTATTTCTCTTTCTCTCTCTCTCTTGACTATTTGTCTATATATCAATCCATCCATCTATCCATCTATCCATCCATCCTTCCATCTATCTATCTATCTATCTATCTATCTATCTATCTATCTATCTATCTATCTATCTATCTATC